ACAATTAAAGTAACGTTTAAATAAAAAGGTCTTGGCCTGGCGCCGAAAAACAAGTAACGACGGCACCAGGCGGACCTCTCTGGGGAGTGCATTCCATAAGTTTTTAAAAAGTTTTAAATGTTTTTAAAATTTTTAAAAAGTTGTGATGATTTTTAGCATCTTTTAACATTTCACCGTGTTTTCCTTCATTGTTTGGAATATTTTGTGAACTGCTTCGGCCGATGCCAAAAAGGTGCAGAAATGGCAATACATATGACCGACCGTCGAGCCTCATTTTTCCCCCATACAGAAATGGGATTGTTGCCCGGGCTGAACTCCCATCCCACCAGTTCTTGATCCCAATACCGATCGGTTTCCAGAAGCCAGAATCGGCGCTTCCTTATCGGCAGTGCAGGTGATGTAGCTGAGCCCGGCTTGTGTGGTGGGAGGCACAGAAGGACCCGATAAGCTCAGCAACTTCTGTTCGCAGGAAGCTCAGCTGCAGTCTGCACAGTAGCCACAGCTGGCAACCCCACAGAAGACTGAGTTGCCTCGAAACCCAGGGCCTTCATTGGTGAGAGCACCCAGGCCCCCTGCAGTGACTTACGACCGCGTGCTACCAGGTGGTGGTCAGCACCGCCAACTACAAGCTTTTAGAGCATGTGCAGAGTGTTTTATAGACTCTGAGTCACGTGGGCCCAGCAGCTGGGCGGTTGATGACGAAATAAGATGAACACAGTCAGAGGAAGGTGAGAGGTCTGCAGAGGGGGCTCGGTACGGTGGCATTTGATGGCAGGAGAGCAAGGAAGGATCATGGGATTATTGTGAAGCCTGGCATGCAAATGAGGGTGCTTGCAACCTGGCTGTCTTATCAGCCCTTCCTGATCAGCAAAAACAACAGCCCTGGCAACTTCTTAGGGGAAGCCATCAGGTCCCACTCCTTACAGCAACAGCGAATGCCAAACAGTGGCCTGGCTTAGAATTTTGGGGGTGCTTCCTGAGAAAGGGGTGCAGGCATTGTATAACATTTTATAACACAGAGGTTCGCCTGGTGCCGTGTTTTTCGGCGCCAGGCCAAGATCTTTTTATTTAAACAATATTTTAATAACATTTAATATTAACTATAGGTTTTAATTTGCAGCCGGAATGAATCGGGTTTTTAATTTGTATAATCTGTAGTTTTTGTATTATATTTGTTTATTTATGTAAGCCGTCCCGAGGCGTTAAGCGATGGGATGGCATACAAAAACTCTAAACAAACAAACACAAAGACACACAAGAAACCCTTTTTTCGCCAGGATTTATCTGAATTTTCCCAACACGCCTCTTCTTCCCCCACAACTGCCCTTCTCTGCTTCGCCACTAACATTCCTGACAGAACGAGGATCGACCGGTTGGTAGAAAACCAGGGACACTCCAGGAATCAAATGAATTCCGCTTGAGCCACTTCCATGCAAAATATTACCGAAGACTAACAGAAGCTCTGTTGGCAATATGATAAAAAACTGCACTTAACATTCTAGCCGGCCCCAGGCTGGGCTCAGGGTTGTCTTTCTCCTTCTCTCCAAGCACAGAGTCTGTGAGATCTTGTAAATGGAAACCCCAGTTGTCTAGAGAGGTGACAGACCCGAGGATTAGGAAAAAGGGCCCTATGTTGAGGGAACACGAGAACTCTTTAATCATGCATCAAAGGAACAGTGCCTCTTCTTTGACCCTGAACCTAGCAAACAAAGAATTCCTTGTTGCCAGTGACTCAGGGATGATCCAGAATATTTCATTCCGGCTTTGCTCATCCTACATCCTATGGTTTTGCTATCTGCCTATGGAGATGACACAAAGCATCCTTTTTCTGGTGTGTCTTTTCCACTGGCAAGAAGCCGCCTCTTCGAAGCACCAGCTGTCTCAAAATCAGCTGCCCCACATGCGTCATGGACCGTGTGCTCAGGATTCCTCACTCAGAGTAGGTTGTGGGTGCTTTCACCCAGGGCCTCTCCTTTGCTTTCTGAGCATCCCGTGGCTTTTTTTAAATCAAGGAAAATCTGGTACTATGTGGAAATGGCGGAATAGAGAATGATACACTCGCTATTTTTCGCAATTCTGCTATGCAGCAGCGCTACCCTGTGGTTGTGTAATGGAACTGGTAGAAAGGCCGAAAAAGAAAATAGTGCTAGGGAAGAAAACACGGCTAAAGAGAACCCATCCTAATCTCCCAAAGAATCTGGAAGCAGAAGCCTTGGTAAAGTGGGGGGTTAAAAGTCTGCAATAATGAAGATTGTGTTCCTAGCCATCATAATTAAGGATATTGTTATGACAACTGGCCACCCTTTCTAGCCCAAGTTCTGGTTCATAGCTCAGGAGAAGGATCCACCTGCACACACCTCCCCGTTGCTTCCCCTGGTTTGGAGAATGAAACAAAATTTTAAAAGGGTGCGCTGGTGTCAACAGAGACTTTTGAGAAATCCCCACGTGGGCTGTATATAGAATTTCAGGAAATAAACGCATTGCTGTGGGAAGCATCTTCATCATCACCACCACACTAAATCTAGATCCCAGCTTTTCTCCTCTTGCAAAGAACCCAAGGGACCGTACAAGGTTTTCCTCCTCTCAATCTTATCCCAGAACATCATCCCTGTGAGGGAGGCTAGGCTGAGAGCTCCAGGGAGCTCCTTGGCCGAGTGGGAACTAGAACCCCGATCACCTGAGTCCCAGTCCTGCACCCGGAACCTCTGCACCGCAGTGGCAGCTCCTCTCCCCCGTCTCTCTCGGCACACACTGGTCTTAAGCTGAACTGGGGCTGCATGCACTCGCGCTAAAGTAAATTAAACAACTGACAATTGCAGAGCGATGCGATTAATGTCACCTGTGGTTTGACCCTCTGGAGCCCAACGAAAAGGTCTGAAAGGTGCCGCAGGAAGGAACACTTGCGGTCTGCCTGCATTCCTGCTTGCAGATTTTTAAAGTATATTGCCAGATAGGGCCCGAGTCTCTCGCACGCTCCATCATCCAGAGACAACTAGGCACTCGCCCTCCACCGCCTCGCTCCTTGAGGAAGCAGGACATGTTTGACCATGTAATAATCAAGCGTATGGAGTGCTTTTTAAACAAGTTAGTATATTGCATCTCTTATCACCAAAATCTTTTAAAAGCATGTTTTAAGGTAATTTAGAGGTATTTCAGTGGTGCTCCTCCTATTTTAGAGGCAGGAATTTGAGTTGGTTCATCAGCAAAACGCCTTACAGGAAAGATAAGAAAGTAGGACCGACCCCAGAGTGTGGTCATTTTTAAAATTCATTCAGAAGTATGCAAACTTTATTATTGAGCCTGACAACATGTGAAGGAGCCCCAGTTTATATCACATACACACCCACTTTGCATACAACAGGACAACCCATGGTTAGCTGTGAGTTGTTTGGGAGTGTGACGGGGAACAGGTGGACTGGTTCCCCCCTGCTCGCTGGCGCCAGCAGGGGTGGTGCCTGAACGTGGGTCCCAGGGGTTGGGAGTGGCGTTTTGGTGCTCCACATAAATCTTTCCTCCCTATGACTATTATAATCAGAAAAACAGGACGACTGCCTAGCAACAGTGACGCACGCATTGGTTACTTCCCGATTGGATTTCTGCAACGCACTCTACGTGGGGCTGCCCCTGAAGACAGTCTGGATACTTCAGTTGGTGCAAAACAGAGCTTCTTAAAACGACATCTCCTGCAGTGCAGAAAGCCAACTGGCTCGAAGGAAAGGGAGAGTGGAAAGTTTAAATGGTTTAGAAAGGAAGCCTGACTCCCAAATGATGCATTAAAATGGGAGTCCTTATGCTTTGACTGTTAAGAAGTTTGAACCCAGAGAGCTTTATGGTTATGTCGAATTGCTATGCGCTGCTCATGCACTTCCAGTCTTTATAAGCCCACAACATGGCTCTGCTGAAAAACTTTTACATCTGTGAATGCAAAAACGGATCAGGTCTCCTTAGGAGGAAGCACCCCCTTCCAGTGCCTGGGCTCCGTGGATTGGTACCCGTGCATATGCTTGGTTTCCAGGTGCTTGATGTGAGCTAAGACGGCCAGCTGGCTTTTATGAGGAACTGCTGGTGGGAGGCTTTTCCACATGGGGCACTTACTGTGCTCTCGTGCGCCTTCCCTCATGGAAGTTTGCAGGTCCTTACATAACATGGGCGGCCTCTCTGAGGTTTTCCACCCAGTTCCAGGACAACCGGCCCTGACAATGCGGTATTTTCCCGGAGGACGCCGTTGCTCGCTAGGCAAGCCTCGGCTGGCTGCTTCTAGCGCCACCTTGTGTTCCGCAGCGGAACGCACGGGGCACATGCAAAGGTCCGTCCACTCGGTAGTCCAGGATTTCACGCCTTGTCGCTTTGCGAGGACGCCGCGCTTCAGCAGCGGCTGACTGTGCATTGGCTTGCTTTCCTCTTCCCTCCGCATCGCTTCTCGGCTTGTGCTGCGTCTTCTCGATGGGGATACGGGGGTGGCGCCACACCTGTTCTGTCCATTCTCGGTTCTGGGGAGGCCTCGCGTTCCAGCGAATGCATGGGGCAAAGGGCTGCAAAGGCGTGCCGCCCGCGACCAGCACCTGAGAGCCTTCGGGCCGGATCCGGCCGCGGGGCCTGCGGCGGG